GTTCAAGTCCAAGGAAACGGACCAACGTCTTCCGGAAGTGCCTATGTAAACCCGGGTTCCTCTTTTTTTCTCTCTTCTTAATAAACAACTTAATTTTTAATAAGTAGTGTATTCTAATGGTTCAGAAATTTAAAATTCTTAAAAGAATGTGGGATGAAAAGCTTTTCTTCTATCCTGTCGTTTTTAAGTAGCTCTCTTTGTCTTGTTATAATGCTTTTTGTCCTGAATTTTACCTTGTCTGATAACAAAATCTTGTCCCATGCTTTCTAAAAAAATTTGTATTAGCCTAATATATCCATCTGGGCAATATTTTCCATCTATCCATTTCTACCCTTTCTGAATTATTTAAAATTTTGTTCCTATTGGTAGTGTAGAAAGCTTTTCTATCTTATAATCCAGTCTGAGATTAATTGTCTTTAAATAGGTGAGTTTAACTCACATTTGTTGTCATGGCAGATATATGTGTTATTAGCTTGCCTGTATTTTATTTTTTTAAAATATCTTTCAAAGAATCTTTCACTGTGTGGTGTTTTCCTTGCTGTTCTTCTGGAGTTATTCTGATATTTTTGTTCTAGTGCTTGTCTTTATAATTTGGCATTATGCCCTCTGTCTTTTAAGAAAGTTGTGATAGTTCCCTATTATGAGCAGTGATAAAGTTAATGAATTTCATCCTAATATGGAGACATCGTAACTATGTTACATGGTCTATTTTATTTAATCTCAACCTCTATTGCATTCTGGTTTCAGAGGACAATTTAATCATTTAGCAAGCTTGGAACTCAGTCTGTATTGTTATTATCAGTAAATACACTGTCAGAAGAGGCCTTGAGTTTTCCTAGAGTAGATTATCAGCCTTTAACAAGGCTTTTTTAAATCTATAAAAATGATAGTTTCTAAAGTCAGCATAGATCATAAAATTGGTAAGCTGACATTTGGTCGCAATTACATTATCAGACTACTATAGGTAGTCTGTTACTCAACACCAGAAAATTACCAGTTTTATGTCCAAGTTGACTTTAAAAAGTTCCTGGGTCTGAAGCTCCCCCTCTTTTTTAGCATGGACTCCACACTTGTTGAGAGTCTTATCACCACTTAACTTTTCAAATACAGTACATTTGGCAACTGACAGGCATGTAATATACAAAAAGGAATTTTTAAAGTTGGAAATCTTAGGACAGTCCAGCTTTGCCTGCCCCATGTAATGACTGAGACTCCTCGCGTGTTGACATTAGTCCTCCTGTCTGGCCCAGAGGGGCGGCTGCCTTCCCAGGTCCTGGAGGAACACAGCTTCTGCGGCCTCTTTTCCGTTCAGAAGGCTTCAACCCCTGGTCACAAACAGCCTCTGAAGAGGGTGGGAAGATGTTTTTTTGTTTCTGTTTTTTTAAAATCATTTTTAAAGTCCTGTGTCAATTACTTGACCATAGTTGACTTCCTTACTTTTTTTTTGGTGAAAAGATATGACTGCCCACCTTTAATAGAGCAGCTAAAACATGGACTGCCTTTGGAGAAGATTTACATTTCCACTTTGTACTCTAGTCCTGTGATAGTCACCAGTATTTTTCACATAGATGAGTGTTTGTGGTCTGCACTTTGCCTGTGGATCACCTCCAAAATGCTGCTGAAAATACCCTCTCCCCCCCAGCTTCCTGCTGAATTCAGATTGAATTCAATTCAGATTGAATTCAATTCAATCTGAATTCAGGTTGAATACATTTGGGGTGTGGCATCTGTGCTTTTAATGTTTGTTGCTGGTGTTTCCCACCCAGGTATTTCCGCAGGCTGCAGTTGGAAGATACCAGAATCGACAGTTCTCTGCTGAATATAGAAATTTTACTAATATCCAGTTTGACAAAATTCTCTGGCTGGATATTACTCTTTCTGTATACAGTGTTTCAGGAAGGCTTTTATTTCGAAGATACAATGATTTGATTTTACCATAAAAAGAAAAAAATCTAGGAAACCAGATTAGAGATTTCACATATAACTCCAACCAGTTTGTGGGGGGAAAAAATTGTAGGAGGGTATTTAACATACAGATTGCAAAATGTTGAATTTAACACTCTTGTAATGCTTCCATGGAAAGCCTTAAGGATAACTGACAAGTCATTTTTTATCAGATTTAATGGGTTTCTAAATTCTTATCTGCTTCTCGAACAAAATGTTAATTAGAACAGTAATTGAGTTACCAGCTGCCTCGTGTGTTCACTCTAGGAACTTGTACAGAAACACTGTGGGACTCGTGTAAGGTCACTCATTGCTCTTTGAGTGGCTAAATAACTTTGCAGCAGGCTTCTAAAAATTCAGGTATTAAGGGAGTCTATAGGAAGATAAAGATTGACAAGAGATTTGCAATAGTTAGTCTGATACTTCCTCCATTGGATTAAGGTGGAAAAATCCTCTTTAGCACCACAGATGGGGGAAAATCCTCCCTTTAAGATTTCTTTATGAAGCAGCTGATGCCTGCCTAGTTTTATAGTAGAACAGAAAAAGCCTTTGGAGCTAGGTATGCTGGCACAGGCATTCTGGGGGAAAAAAAAACTTAAGAAATCAAGTTTATAACTTTGTTTAAGCAATACAGAGCATCATTACAAGTATAATATATTCCAGGAATGCAGGGTTCATTCAGCATTAGGAAATATGAATAATATGAGGTTAAGTGAGAGGAAACCATATAATCATTTTAACACCTGTAAAAAGAGTATTAGGTAAGATTCAATAATCGTTTATGACTAATTTTTTTCTTTTTGCAAAAACTGGAAAACTTACCAAATCTTTGGCTAACGAGTCATTTACTCCAAAACCTACAGCAAATATCATACTTAAGAGTTGAAACTTTGGAAGCATTCCCATTAGGTTCAGTAAGAAACTAAGGATTCCTGTTGGCATTACCTTTGTTCAACATAGCCCTGAAGGTCTTAGCTCATAGTGTAATGAGATAGGAAAAAGAAATGAAAAATAGAAATTTTTTTCTTGCAGGTGATATTAATATATACACAGACAATATAAGAAAAATGTGTTTAGCATAGTTGCTACATATAAGAATTTGGGTTCATGTACACTAATGATAAGCTTTTAGTAAATATAATAGAAGAAAAGATTCCCTTCATAGTATTTTTAATCTGAGAGTGAGCACAGCCAAAGGTACATATAATATAGAGAAAATAATGGAACAATATTGTTAGATACAAAAGACATGAATAAGTGGAGATCTTATGCCATCTTTAACAGTGGGATCTCTTAATTTGTTAAGATATCATTTCTCTCTAAATTAGTTCATTGCAATCCAGTCAAAAGCCCAATAAGATTTTTGTGAAACTTGACAAAATGAACCTAAAATTTTAAAGAAAATCAAAAGCCCAGGAGTAATGAAGACAATCTTGAAAAACAAGGTGGGGGCCTTGCCACAGATATTGATACTAAGCCATGGAAATTACAATACTGTGGCCCTGATACAGAGATAGACAAAAAGATCAGTAGAATGGGATAGAAGCTAGAAACAGTGTCACATGTACATAGGAATGTGGAGGCAGCATTATAAATCAGTAGTAAAAGATGGAATGTTTTATAAATGGCGCTTGGTCATTAATTGATAATCATATGGAAAATAAAAGTGTATTTTCAACTTCACACCATCCCCCCAAATAAATTCGGATTAATTAAATTTGAATGACAAATCTTAAAAAGTCTACTCAAATATAAGAAATAATTGAAAATATAAAAAGAAGCATGTCTGACTTTATGTACAAATCTTGGAAATATAGTACTGAGTGCAAAAGCAAGTTGTAGAAGTGTGTGTATAATAAAGTATTGCTTATATAAAATTTAAAACATGAAACAATACAATGTATTGTGTAAAGATGCTAAAATAAAAATATAAAAACATACATGGTGGTGATATACACCAAGTTGATGGTAGCATTTACTTCTTTTTTTTTTTGTATTTACTTCTAAAGATGGTAGATGAATATGACTGAAGAGGGATGTGTGCAGGATACATCTGTATCTGTAAATTTTTTAGATAAAAATATTCTAAATAACGTGGCAAAATATTAACATCAAGTGAATGTCCAATAGTAAAGAAATGGTTGTATAAATTATGGCTTTTCCATACTATCAGATACTTTTTAGCCGTTAGAAAGAATGAGTTGTATCTAGGTCACTTTATATGGAGGGAATTCCAAGAGTTGTTACGTAGTAGAGAAAACAAGATACAGGAAAGTTTGTATAAAATCGCTTGATTTTTATGAAACGGTGTATGTGTGAGTATATATGTATATGACATACTTGTATATGACTATATGAACATGAAAAAAATGAGAAAGGATTCCTCCTAGGTTGTTACCATGGCTTGGGAGTGAGGTGATTAGGAAAGGAGAAGAGAGAGGGGAAAGGAGAGTCAAGCAAAATACGAAATGGATGAGACAGTGTGCTATCAGCATGGATGATGATTCGATGATTTTGTTTATGTGCTTAGATGAGCATATATACATACATATATGCATATTTTTAAAGAAATGTAGAACCACTTAAGAGTGGGAGTTGACCTAAGAGGAGTTTACTATATTTGACTGGGGAGGCTGTGGTAGAAGAAATGGACTTAGCACAGAGCCAACCAGACAAACATGCCTTTCCGAGGAAAGAAATACTCTGTGATGTGCTCTCTTGTTAGTGGCTTTAAACAAATGATGCAGTTAAACGGATTGCTTTTCCATTTTTCTCTCTTTGGTGTTTATTAAAGTACCTGACCGTAATTTTAATAAGTTCTTGATAATAGTATGTTTAGAGTACTCACTATGTGCAGGTGATATAAAATACTAGTAGTTAAAGTATAGTATTTTATGAAATGTGGACTTTTGACAGGGAAACCTTAGTTTTTTTTTTTTTTTCATCTTGGGGAAGAATAATGAATGAGTATTTATTTTGGTCAGGTCAAGGCCTGAATACAGATAGTTCAAGATTATGTATAATTATTTTTAAAATTTTCGTTGTTTTTCTTTCAGTGTGCGGGATGACAGAATTCGAGTAGAAAGGATGAAGAACGTGTATTTTGAGTACAGCCATGCTTTCCAAGAGGTTACAGAATTTTATGCAAAAGATGTAGTCGACATTAAAGGTAAATATTTTATGCATGTTAGCCATATGTCCTCAAATGTAACTGAGTTGAGATTTGGATAAAGGTGCAAATTTGACTTAAAGGCCAGTGAAAGGTAGGTAGTTATTGATAAACAACTGGAAGAAGCAGAGGAAAGAGTTCACTGTTCTTACACTCATCAGAGGCATAACTGCAGTTGCTTTTTGTAGTTATGACCATTTTGGTAATGTGATGTTTTTGACATATTCATGAAGTGTAGCAAGTTAATTACTGAGTCATCTTCCTTCTTCCTTCCCTTAAAAGGTGGCCATGATTTTCCTTGTAGTTTTATAAAATGTGTGGATAAATCTCCTAAGGAAGGCTAGCACTTCTAATGCCCAGAATTAAAATACCAGAACATTATTGACAGCATCTTAATAGTTTGAATCCATTATTTGTCTAATTCATATTTCCTCAGCCAAGTATCTGTTTGATTTGGTCTGCACCCCTCATTCTTGCCAGTCCAGCTTATGTTAAGATGTGTTTTTATCCTGTTGCAAAGCTTTCACCCTTGGACCAACCTCCCCCAGCTCCCTCTTAGGCATCAGTGTCTTATTGGCATTTTCCCTCATCCTTTTTAATCTCATGGTGTCTTGGCCAATGCCAAGGGATCATCAAATTATGCTCAACTAAAGACAAGACTAAGTCACAAAACTACCATAAGCCACTCTTGGCATCCAATTCACCTAGAATCGCATAGGACAGAAAATCCAGTTTGCTGGCACAGCACCATTTCTTTTAGCGGGAGGAGTCCTCTCCATCTCTGCAGAAGTCCATAGGGCGCTGAACTTCCCGGCATCCTCTAGTGACAACTCAGCTGCAAAGAAAGCAGGTGGATGCAGGATCTGCCTACAGGAAACCTTAGCTCTTGCTGGAGTTTCTCCAAAGGACATTCCAAGTTCAAAGAGTCAGTGTACTGAAGGAAGGCCAAAATTCTAGAATCAGGTCATTCCTCTCCTAGTCTGGATGCAGTTTCCTGATTTCAGGTCATTTCCGCCATGTGCAATGCCACCTCGTAACACATTGGCATTTCATCTTTATCAGGTTTCCTGGGGAACAGAGCTGGGCAGTCAAAAGATGAAATTCTCAATAGAAGAGAAAAGAGTTAATTCTTCATTTACACCTTGTTTTTACAAAAAGCTATGTTAAAAGTAATATATTTTATATTACAGATTTGTAGAGAATATCTTATAATTTTTTCTAAAGGTAGTAAATATCTACTGCAAAAAAAAAAAAGATCAAAACATAGTTGTATATAAGGAAAAAGGTAAAAGTCCCTCCTGTCAAATTCTTAAGAATTTTTTGATATACAGGTCTACACATGAGCATGCATAATTCTTCATTTTTATTAAATATGACTTGGATTTATTATTTCAACTAATTTTTATTGAATGCCTATTAAAAGCATTGTTTATACTTTAAGAAATTAAACAAAAATTCCTGCCCTTCTGGAGTTTTTTAGTCTAGTGGAAGGAGGTGTACAATAAAATAGTGTTTGACGGTGATGAGTTCTTTAGAGAAAGGCAGGGAAGGTCTTCCCTGGTAGCTCAGTGGTAAAGAACCCACCTGCCAGTACAGGTCCTACGGGTTTGATCCCTGGTCTGGGAGGATCCCACGTGCCACAGCGCAACTAAGCCCCTACCCCACAACTACTGAGCCTGTGCCGTAGAATCTGGGAGCCGCAACTACCTAGCCCACGTGCCTCAACTACTGCAGCCTACACACCCGAGAGCTTGTACTCAGCAGCAAGAGACGCCATCGCAGAGGAGCCTGGGCATCACAACTGGAGAGTGGCTCCTGCTTGCAGCAACTAGAGAGAAAGCCCACGCAGCAGCAAAGAACCCAGCCCAGCCAAAAACAAATAAATAAACACATTTTAAAGAGAAGAAAGACAGGGAAGAGGTGAATTTTTAAATGCAGTGGTGAAGGAAGACCACGCTGAGAAAATGGCAATTGAATGAAGATGGAACAAAGATTAGAGGGGTTAAGGGGGAAAAACCGCATGGTTGAGTGAAGAAACAGCTTTTCAGGCAGAAACAACAGTAAGTACAGCGTATCTAAGTGCCTGATGTGTTTAAAGAATGTCAGGGAGCCTGGGTGCTGGTACAGAGTAACTGAGGAAGAGACTCTTAGGAGGTAAGCTCAGAGATGAAAGGAGATGGAGAGCAGGTTTTGCAGGGACTCTTAGATCCCTATGAACTTGAGCCACATCTCTCGGTGAGTTGAGAGATGTTGCAGGATTTGAAAGCAAGGTAATCTAATGATATGATGTATGTTTTAAAAAGGATTCCTCTGCCTGTTTTGTTAAGAACACCCTATAGGGCACAGGGACAAAGGTGGGAGACCAGATGGAAAACTAATGGGAAAGTCCTTCCCAGTAGTAGGTGCATACCAATCTAGAGGTACTGAAATTTATTTATCTATTAATAATACCCTATTGATATTCAATTAGGTTTTCTGTAATTTTTTACTACTATGAAAGATTTTTCAACTCACTTCCTTGTATACACATCTTTAACAAGCATTTTGGAGTACTTCTGGGTCAAAGCAGATGAGCATCTTACACTTCGAAAATACTTGCTCCTTGCTTTTGAAAGAAGGTTCATCCACCATCAGAAAATTGCCCTTTTTTCATACTCTAGGTATTTATAATCTTCTGTATTTTCCAAAGGGTAATTTCAGGAGTTAAGCATCTAAATGATTATTTCAATAATTATAAACAAAATTTTATTTCACTTAATGTTTGTTTTCAAAAATGATGAATAATAATTTTAATGAAGGTATGTATTCTGTTTTTTAGATTCTCAAAGTTTTTCTGACATCATTAACTTGGAGAAGCCTGTGATTTGCTCTTTGGCTGCCATAATAAGATACCTCAAAGAGTTTAACTTGGAAAAGGTGCTTTCCAAACCCAAGTAAGTGGTTTCTGAAAAAATTTTAAGAAGTGTGAGGTTATATTTAAAAACATTTCTTAAATTGAATTTGGTAAGTACTATACTCAGTTACCTGCTCTCGATGGAATACTGTATTCTGGGGCAAGAGTGACCTGTGTGGTATTGTTGCTGAGGAATATTAAAAATGTTAGTTGACATAAAAAATTAATAGAAGGCTTAAGAATTGGGTCAGTTTGTATTCATGATTGCTATTGAATGTATTATAGGATTGAGCACAGAACTGTGCTTTATATTAAAGCACAGTTAATTGACAAGTAGTATTAAGAAGGGGTATTTAAGGGCATTCATAAAACTTCATCACCTTTCTTATTCTTGATTTCAGTTCTTATTTCACAGACCATAAAGTTGAAGATAAAGAGGATAGCCACTAACATAGACAGCTTTTTAAAAGAGTGATTAACTTTGTACAGTTGAGAGATTTAAAAGCTGGCAATTGACCTTCTAAGAAAGTGCCAGCTTAAAAACTAGTGGGAAAAAAAAAGGGTAACAGAGTAGTTTTCTTGCCTTTCCATATTCTACCTTTACTGGCTCCTTAACTTTGGCTCTGTGAAGAACCATTGTGTATCATATTGATCCTGGGTAAGTAAGCTGCTTCCTCTTCTGCAGAGATGGAGTGGACAGATAGGAGCTGTCTCAGTAAAATATCATTAGGTACCAAGATTGGGAAGTCCTTGTCTTTGTCTATTTTAACCCCACCCCTAAAGCAATGCACTTCTGAGACTTCTACCCAGTGTCCCAAGCATTTTGAAGTATTTCTGTTCTCATTCGGAGAAGGCAATGGCAACCCACTCCAGTTCTCTTGCCTGGAAAATCCCATGGACGGAGGAGCCTGGTAGTCTGCAGTCCATGGGGTTGCGAAGAGTTGGACACAACTGAGTGACTTCACTTTCACTTTTCACTTTCATGCATTGGAGAAGGAAATGGCAACCCACTCCAGTGTTCTTGCCTGGAGAATCCCAGGGACGGTGGAGTCTGGTGGGCTGCCGTCTATGGGGTCGCACAGAGTCGGACACGACCGAAGTGACTTAGCAGCAGCAGCAGCCATTCTCATTAGTCGGCGAACAAACTATACTAAGCCATATGTGAACCCTGGTCCTTGTTCATCCTACTGTTTCTTGTGATCTCATGTGACGTCCTCCACAATTTAAGGATCAGGGCTTGGCCAAAGACTTGAGCGCACCCTTCTGCATCTCTCTGTGTGCATCTCTGTCATCTCTGACATTCTGTCTCAGTTTCTACTTTCCTTGGTCTCTCCAAGAAGTTAGTCCTAGTGTTTATCTCTTTTTGTTTTTCTTCCCTCAGGCACCACAGTTCTATGCTGCCTGATGTTCAGCTGCCTGAAAAACAATTTAAAATACACACACAAACACACAATTATATACATATGTGTATGTATATATATGTGTGTGTGTGTACGTATGTAATATAATGTGTCCAGTTTTCTAATTGTGGCTAAAGAGCAATGTTCATGCATTTAATCTTTTTATGAATGAAAGCAGGTGAGGTTCCATGATTAAATACCACACAAAAACAACAGAAGAGGGAGATGTATAAAGTAGCAGCAGCTTTCCTAAACAGTGTCGATGTCCTGAAACATGGAAAACAAATTTTCACTTAAAAATTAGCAATGAGAAAAGAATCAAATTGAAAAATCCCATATAAAATTATAATAGAAAAGGATGGGGAAGAGGATAATGTCCTTATAGAAAATAAATGCATACCAGAAAGACATGCTCACAGATGAAATAAAAACTATAACCTACTACTTCAAAATGAGCTAAATGACATTAAGGAAATGATGCTAAACGTGAAAGAACAAAGGAGAATAGATGAGAAATAGGAAGGCTTTGAAATGAAATGGTAAGATTTAAGAATGAACATATATACAGAAAAGATCAATTTAGGAATAAAGAGTAAACTGGAAGGAACACAAAAGAATACACCGATACTTTTAAGAGAAACAGAATTTGAAGAGAGAGATGCAAAAACAGATTAACATGGTAAGCCAGATGAGACATCTATCCCTGGAAAACCCTACTTCAAGCCTGACTCTTGACTGGCATCTGGGACTTGGGTTTGGGGCCGGTCTTCAGCATTCGCTGGTAAGAATGACTCCCTGTGCCTAAACCATTTCTGCAGACAGTATGGTTTATGTTGGACAACTACGTACTTTCTGAGAGCTGTAATTTTGGCACCTGCTCAGGAGCAGGTGCCTTTGTAAAAACAGCCCCCAATGAAAAATCCTGGGTGCTGAGTCTCTGATGAGCTTCTCTGGTAAACATTTCACACGTATTGTCACAACTCACTCTGGAATAGTTAAGTGCATCCTCTGTGTTTCTGCCAGGGGAGGCCTCTTGGAAGCTTGCCCTTGGTTTCCTCCAGGCTTTGCCTTGTGTACCTTTGTGCTTTTCTGATTTTGCTTTGTATCCTTTCACTGCAATAAATCGTAGCTATATGACTGTATGCTGCGTACTGTGTATTCGCCTAGTGAATCCTTGGGGATCTGTTAGTCATCTTTCTTATTGTTTTCTTCTCTAATATGCTTACTGGTAGCATTTAGGAATGCAAGGATATTCATTTTAATTGCAAATAAATTAGAAGTGAATTTATAATAAAACTGAATTTTTGTAATATGATACAATTTCTAATTTATAAGTTAACCATCAAAAATTAGACAAGTAGTGAATGTATGAACTCTGAAAACTATGTAGAGAATTATTTTATACTATGGATTTCATATGTAAGATGGTGCATGTGGTAGGTTTTTTTTTTCTCTTTTCATTTTCAAATACTATTAACAGTATTTAAATAGAATCTTTGTAAGGGATTGATCTTTCACAAAAGGTCTACACTTTTGCTGCCTTTGTCTGAATCAGAAAGATTGGTTTTCATTTTTTTAAAAGTTGAAATAGGAGTGATATGGAATCTTAAACTTCTTTGGCAATTTTTAGCAGGAATGTTTTTCTCCCATTATAAAACTTGAGGGGGAGAAACAATATCCTGTGAATTATTGTTGTCTGAAATATTAATGAAGTATTTTCCCATGTTACTTGGAAGATTTCTGTCGAAGTTCACACAGCGTGAATGCTAGCCAGGCCTTGTTTATAAGGTTTATTTCAAAGCACATCAAATTTGGTTTCTTCCAAAAGGGTAAATAATTTAGAGTTGCTTAATCAGTGATCATTCCTGTCAGATTCCTAGGGAATGCTGGCAGATACATCCCTGAGTTCAAAAATATATATATAATTCCTGTTGAAAATAGGCAGCGACAGAGGAAATTTCTTTTGTATTTGTAAGGAAGAGTCCTAACTCCGGAGTACTTTATCATCCAAACATGGGAAACCTGAAAGCAGAGTTAGTTCTTTTAGTTGTTTGGTAATTATTGTGCCATAGCAGTCCGTCTAACTTAATATTCGTAGTGGTTGATCTCTTTTATTAAGATCAGTGCAGATGTCAGTGCTGGTGGATTATGGGTTCTTGATGCCAGCTAAGCATCCTTCAGTGTCTGAAAGTGATTAACACTTTTTTGACGGGGGCATTTTTGTTGAAACTTATGCCCGTGGCATTAATACATCTCTGGTCAATAATATGTTAAGGTACTCAAGTGTTCATTAATCACCCCTAGGATGTAGTTTAAACCTGTCGGGAGAGGGGGAAGTAAATGACTTTATTTAAACCTATGAGACCTGGTTGGATACCAACTCAAAGGCCAGGCTAGCAGTACTTCCAACTGTTTTTCACCATGAAGGAGTATGAACATCTGTCAGTTGTATAGCAAATCACTGCCAATTGTTTCTTCCTAAAAATAATGTTTTACATATTATTATTGTCTCTGGATGTTTCACATATATTTCTGGGCTTTATGACTCAAAGGAAAACAAAGAAACCCAAACTGGCCTCCCCATTGAAAGATGACAGGCCTTTGCTGAGCATCTACTTTCTGCTAGGCTCTGCAGGTGCTGCAAAATGTGTAAGGCATAAATAAACCATGCCTCCACGGAGCTTAGATCTATTAATAAGGAAGAACATAAATTTCTGTAATGTGAGGCAGATTAACAGATACAAGAAGGAGAGACTGGCCTGCACATACCTGCTATCATTGTTGGAGTTGCCTCTGAAAATCTTTAACAAGTCATCTTTTGGAAGTTAGGTAAACCTGTCACAGGTATATTACACTGCCAAAGGACAATGTTCAGTCTAGGTAGTGTTCCTAATAAGCAGCAAGTTATTTCTTTTTCAGGGCTCTAGGCCTTAGTTGTGGGTGTCATCTAGAAGTCAAGGCATCTCTCAATGAACACTGGCTCCTTGGCCATGATTCTAGGCTCTAGATTCCTGGATGAAGGCTTTCTTCCATCCCTGGCTTGGGAAACTGGACTTAATTTATATCTTATTAGCGCCATGATGAGTGGGATTAGTTTTATGATGCAAACATTCATGCTTTCCCTCCAAATAGCTTAGTGACCTGCTGTTGTTTTCCTTGCTTTGAAAAAATGAGCCATCAAGTCTATAAGTGCTGTGGATAGAAATGTCAAAGGACTGACTTATAAAGGAAATTAATTATTGAGTTAGTAATGCATTGATTGATATATTTTTTAACATGAAAGACTAACAAGGATGCAGTTTGCATTGTGCATGCATTTAGTAATCACATTGAACTCAATACTCAAGCTTATTTGAAATTTACTGAACTTTTAATCTAGTTTGGAGTACTTAAAGGAGCATAAGGAAAATGTGAATTCTTTGAACTTAAGGAAATAATTTCTACTTTTTCAGTTTAGACTCTGCTAAAACATTAGCCACATAAATGTGTGGTCTTGATTATAGATAAATAACATTTGCACATATCAGAATGTTGATAAAGAGTTTTTAAAGTGTTTATCAAGATGATCTCATGCCAAAGAACAGGGAGGACATTTTAAAGCACCTTGACATATTTTTCTAGCAAATTGCATAGTTTTTCCTGAAGAGACACCCACTTGCTTTCCTGATACTAAAAGACTGTGCTTGATTCTATTACTGGAAATTAAAAAACTGAAAAGCTGTTAAATACCATTACTTCCCTTCCTTGTTTTAGTTTTTGGTGTGAGAACGGCTGTGCTTTCACATCGGCTTACCTAGAAGCACCAGCCTTGATGAAAGACAATCTTCTAATGAAAATTGTTTTGGCTTTTATTGGTTTGATTTCCTATCAGAGGGCTAAAACTTTTGTTGTAATATTACTGGAATATTTCTACCGGCTGAATTTGTTTTTCTGTTTCTTTATGCACTTGCCTCATGGCTTTTATTCATTCCTTTACAGGAATTTTAAACAGTTGTCAGGTGAAATGGAGTTCATGACAATTAATGGAACAACATTAAGGAACCTGGAAATCCTTCAGAATCAGGTCAGGCAAACATAAGGGCTATTTGATTCAAAATGGTTTTAAAAAGAAATGTGGGATGAAGCAGCAGTCTGTTCTTAGCAGTGCAGGTGAAACAGTATTGTCTTCAGCTGGCTGGTCTGCCTCACATCTCTTGGTAATTGTACTGCTCACTTTTTGGAGAATCAAATACATGAAATTTGGGGATTACATTGGGAGCTTTAGAGCATGCTTTTTAATGATTGAAGCAATATGGCCGTCCTAATAATTTCTATATTAAATATTTGGAAAGGTACGAAATTAATATACAGTGGGTTTTTTTTTTTATCTGCTTGGTTATGTTTTTCTACATATGTTTGTCTTCTACATAACTTTTGTTAAAATGTTCATAGTCTTACTTCATTGTCCAGCATATAAAACAAGTTTCTCTGATACTCCATTTAACTGTAAGATACATAAAATTTCACTTCACGAACTTTTATCATTGCTTACTTGCCTTTATTGATGAACATGAAGGATAATAAAGACATTAAAATTATTTCTTTCATTCATTAAATTATCACTTGAAAGTGTGAGCTACTATATTGTAAAAATAATGTTATTATAACATAAAGTCAACAAAAATATAAAGTAGTTCCAAGTCATTTGAGTAAGTAGTAGAAAAGCTGAACCATCTGCTGTGAATCACTGCTATTGCTGTGAATTAAAGTAAATGCTGAATTCACTCTCCTGACTCTTGGATTTGTATATTACTGTCTAATTTCTCTCACTCAGGTTTCTCCCTCTGCCAGGTGTCTTTATGTACTGAAGTCAGCCTTCCTTTTATGCATGAGCATATTTATCATATCATTCTGTTATTTGGAAGTTGAGCATCTTTCCCGCAAGTCTTTCTCTTCAATTCTATATACATCCCCAAGACAGGAAACAAGTAGTAGGAGTAGAGCCCACAGTCAGAGCCTCCAGACGCAGCCCCAGCATTCCAAGATTTCCTTACTTCCACATCCTTCCTGTTCAGGTCCTATCACAGTGGCGTCAGTTCCAAAATCAGAGTCCTAAGGCAAAAATCATCCATCATTAAAATACCCTTTAAAAATCCCTTTCTTTATTAGGACTCAGGCCCTTGTGGAAGTGGAAGCTGAGGGTTAACATCTTCTGCTTGTCTTTGCACTTCAGCTTTCTCCCCCTTCACCATGGATCAGTGGAAAAGGGTCATGAGGAGAGGTCTGACTAGCAGAGAGAGCAAAGGTGTAACAGGCCTCCGGTCTCCCCGCCTCTCCCTCTCCTGTCTGAGCGTGCCTCTCCAGTGATGCCGGGTCATTGGAAAATGGTCCCCCGCCTCCGCGCTCTTCCTGGGACCCTTCACTCTGGTCCCAGCAGTCGGGCTTTTGTCTCAGGATGGGATGGTGCAGTCGCCGATGTGGATTCCCCCATAGGTCAGCTGTGTGTGCCCAGCTCGTCCTCAGGGAACCTTCCATGACCACTGTCGTTCCCGTGTGTGCCCTGCTTTAAACGCCTGAGGTCTGGAGAGGTTGTAGCACACCTTTTAGAGTTGACTTCTGCCAGATGACATCGTGTCCTCATTAGGAGTCTTTCCTCCCACACTTGGATATGAGTGCCCTGAGCGAGGGACCGTGTCTTAATATACCCTTGCCAGTCACTCCACTGAGCACATGGGGGGTGTTCTGTAAGTACCTATTTGTTGATAGGAAGGAAAAGGAAAAGGTAAAAAAAAATTCAGATGAAAATTGTAACTCTATGTTCCAAATAAAACAAACCTATTAATAGACATTTTGTATTACAGTGAAACCTTGGTTAAAATTAAATATAATCTCTAGTTAGTTGTAAATTTTTCAATGGTTTAACTTTAAAGTAGCAAAGCATAGATAAATTTTTGCTAAAGATTTAATAAAACAGACTAAAATCAAACTCTCCAGGTGTATAGTCCTAGAGTACATTACACGTTCACTTCTTTCCTGAAGAGAAAGAGTGTTGTCATGAGATTATCTGTCTTCAGAATGACAACTCTTAGGTAGTGGGAGATAATTGCCAAAGGAACATGAAATTATTTTCACTGTGCTTTCCTAAGGCAGGAAAGGATGCAGTTATATTTTTAAGGTGTTTAGGACAGATGTTTTAAAAGAGACTTCTCAGTAGTTTATTGTTAGTTTAAAACTACACATAAACTGTATCTTATGCAAAATGTCAATACTTTGTGTGTATTTATATGGATGTGTATGTGTGCATGTGTGCTAAGTTGCTTCAGTTGTGTCTGACTCTTTGCGACCCTGTGGATCTTAGCCCACCAGGCCTCTCTGTCCATAGGATTCTCCAGGAAAGAATATGGGAGTGGGTTGCCATACTCTCCTCCAGAGGATCTTCCTGACCCAGGGATTGAACCTGTCTCTTTTACATCTCCTACATTGGCAGGCGGGATCTTTACCACTAGTGCCACCTGGGAAGCAGAATGTGTGTGTGTGTATATATATATACACACACATTATTGTATGAACACCTGTTTTGAGCATAAAAGCTAAGCATGTGTAACATTATAATTGGGGTATATGGAATAATTAGGGCACATGAACAACTGGCAATTTTGGTCCAAATACAATCATTGAGTTAATAAAACATGCTTTCTGGTCTTTTTTAGACTGATATGAAAACAAAAGGAAGTTTATTTTGGGTTTTAGACCATACTAAAACTTCATTTGGGAGGCGCAAGTTAAAGAAGTGGGTGACCCAGCCGCTCCTTAAATTAAGGTAAAAGTAATTCTTTTTTGTGTTTCATCTGAAATTATATAAAATTATAAAATTAAAGGTACATTAACCTCCTTAAAACCAAGGTCATCATGGTTTATAAGAACACCATTTTCAGTTGAGGAAGATTTCACTTTGTAGCTGGGGATAGACTGTCTAATATCATGAGGATTTTTTCCTTGTTCCCAAGAATGAGTCTTTGCAGTTGAAAGACATGGGATCTGCCTGGGGAGAGTGAGGTAATCAGTTGGTTTGGGTAATCAGTAGCACAGGGTGTAGGGAGAGAGGGGCTGGGAAGATGGGGCACTGCCTTTTGTCGAGGGCTTTGCAGGCTGGGCTGAGGAGCTAGTAGCCAGAGGAAGTTAATCCAGTGGTTCTGCTCACGGGAGTGATGGATCAGAGCTGGCGGGTGTAGGGGGATGGAGAAGTAGTGATGGGTAGGGGACAAGTTAGCAAGTTCACGGAGAGGTTCTGAGAAATTGAGCTAGAGAAGGAGCAGTAGGAATCTGAAAGAGGGCTTAGGTGTGTTTAAGAGAGTAGAATGAGTAAACTCAGAGAGCTTTCAAGGAAAGGTAGGTGAGTCTAGAGCCTAAACACTGGTCTCCAAGCTTGTCTGCACATTGAAGTCACCTGGGAAGCTTCAAAATACTTTACACCTATGTCCTGCCTCCAGATATTGTGACTTAATCGGTCTCCAGTGTGGCCTGGGAGTTGGAATTTTTAAAAGCTCCCTAGATGATTCTGACATGCAGGTAGATTTGGGAGCTGTGACCTGTGCCTCTCACTTAGTAGGAGTCCCAGTAACATTGACTGAATGACTGAATGCTGTTATCTATTGTGCTTTTGCTCTGACCCAGTATTTAATACTCAAACCATCTTCTGAGGTAGATCCTTGAAATGAAAAGAGAGATTCAGAGAGCCTCAATAACTTGCTCAATGTTTTACAACTGGGCAGAGCCTAAAGGTAAGATCAGCACTGACTCCATCCTGAAGAGCTTCCCATGTGGACTGAGCAGAGAGGGGGTGGTGCTCGTGCTGTATGAGTGGGCTCTGTCGACTGAGGCAGTCTCACTAAGGCCTCAGCCCGTCAGCCCCTGGCCCACCGTGTTCTCACCTTTGCAGTAGTACAATACCTTCTCACAGGGCTGCTGTAAGGAATAGAGTAAGACAGTAATCCTAACTGCCATTTTTGAGCTCTTTATCATATAGCAAGCACTGTGCTAGGGGCTGTATGTGCATCATCTCTTTTAAACTGCACAACAACCTCACTCATGGCTGCATTTTATGTTGGCTTAGTAAATAGCCATCTTTGGCAAGGATAGCAGATGTTGTCACTGTTGGTCATAGACTTTAAAATACTGTTTTGGTGATGATAATTACTAAATCACTTAAGGTTTTAGTGGGTTATTACGATTTCTTTTCTTGACCAAAGAGACCTTCAGGTAGTGGAAACTGACTAGGTAAAGATGAAATTCTGAAAATGGAAGTCTCTGCTTTGGACCAGGATTCATATAAGATAAAGATGCTTCATGGAACACGAGCAGACAGTCTGTGGACAGCAGTATAAGAAGCATTGCCTTCTGGCTGATGGAAAGGCATCTGTCTAAGCAGCCATACCGTTCTTACTATTTTTTTTTTTTTTGATTGGTTGAAATATTCAGCAGAAACAGACTTACTAGCAGACTTTTTCATGTAAATGAAAATTTTTATTTCTGTTGTTAAACTTGTTTTGTATAAAGAGGATTAATTTGAGATGAGTTCAGTAGACCATGTTGTATGTTCCTTGTGGGTTGATCATATTCTTTCTGGGATCCTCCCTTCCCAGAAAGGCTGAGAAAAAGCACTCCATGCAATGAGCTCCAGTGCTTTCAAGTACGAACATTAGACCAACCTCAAGTATATATAGCTGAAAGCAAGCACGCAAAGCTGCTTCTTTTGCCCTTTTAATTTTAGGTCATAGTTTTAAAACTTTAAGCTGTTTACTCAATTAAAACTGACTTCAGAAGAATTCCAGTTAAATCTTAGTTGCGCTTGCAACCTATTCCAAATACCTAGAGAAGATCTTCAGCTGAGAAGTCAGTTGTTCAGCTGTATAGTCATTGTTGTTGTTTTAATGCTAACATTAGGTGCCATGCTGATCATGTCAGTTGTTTATCCAGGCTAATATTCTGTTTCTGACATTGGCAACCAAAGGTTAGTTTAGGGCTTAGTTTTCTTCTGTTGTGAGATCGTAGAAAAATTTTTGGTGACAAGGGAATTCAGCACGATGTAAGGTGGATTTCCCTGTTTTTCAAGAGCCCATTATTTGTCAGTCATCCATGAATTCTCTTAAATCCCTTTATATTTTTATAAATATATACATATATTTTATATTTTTAGTCTATTTTAATTCCAAGGACAATCAGTTCATAAATTCAGGACCAGGTGTTTCAAGTTTCGGAGGATTTTCCACTCCCACTACTTTTTATTCTGCAAAATGACCTCTTTGGTGCAGGATTTTCTAGTGACTTTCTAAAAAGTATAAATGGTTTTGACCCTATACTTATTGACTGATTCAAAGAATTCACTTTATTCTATTATTGAGATCAAATTTTATTCTGTTGAAACCACATTGGCCCATATAGATAGGTTATGCTTCTTATGTATTATGACTTATGCTTTTTATCAGTTCTCTAATTTAGGCAGGAAGCTTCTTCAGTGTAGGTCTCTGGTTTCTTATAAATGAATGTCATGTTGGTAAGCCATTATTCCTAAGACCTATTAAAATTAAATAAATTATATTGAATTCATTTTTTCAAGGTCCCATCTTTGAATTTCTTCTGTTTCTTTTGATGAGTTGTGTCAATCTCATATATATATATATGTACACGTATGTATATATATATCATATGTACCCTATAGGTTTTGTCCACAAATTCCAAAATGCAAATTCTGCTTGTAAATACAGTAATGATTGGGCAGGTAGGAGCAGGGGAAAGAAAACTTTGAGAAGTGTGGCACGAATCTCTAAAATGATATTTTAGGCAAAAGATTAGTTTCCAAGGCAGATCTAGTCATCATAGAAGTAGTATTAAAGATTCAGTAAAAACTTACTCTATTTTGAAATATTAACGAAAGTAAGTTCTGGCTTTCTCCGTGATTACTTCTTTTTCTGTTATTGTTTAGTCACTAAGTTGTGTCTGACTCTTTTGCAACCCCATGGACTGTAACCCACCAGGCTCCTCTGTGGAATTTTTCAGGCAAGAGTACTAGAATGGGTTGCCATTTTATTCTCCAGGGGATCTTCTTGACCCAGGATTCAAACCTGCATCTCCTGCTTGGCAGGTGGATTCTTTACCACTGAGCCACAAGGGAAACCCACCTCTTTTTTTTTCCCTGCACCTTATATGTTGTTGTTACCTGTGGTTCTCTTCTGGGGCATCTTCTCACTTTCAGCACTTCTTAGGATCTTACCTGTGGCCGTGGCACATCCTGTAACTTCATGTGCTCATGGCTTTGTCACCATCATCTCCCCCACTTCCAGACCCACACATCTACTGGCACGTCTCTGCCTCAGGAAACGTTCCACATGAGTTGCAAAAGAAATTGGAAATAAGATATTTCCTTCAGTGAGAGAGTGATTTCTTGGAAATGCAGCTCTCGTGTGTGTGTGTGTGTGTGTGTGTGTGAGTGTGAGTGTGTGTGTGTGTGTGTGTGAGTGCATGCCCATACAGGTATGCATACACACTTTTATAGAACAACAGATTATTTACCACAAAAGGAACCTAAGAAATCAGTTTCTCCACTCTTAGTGGAGGAATTATTTTGACTAATGATGAAAATAGTCTCTCTGTAAGAAGTAGTATTATATCGTCTTGCCTTTTTGTAAAATCACTTTTTATGAAAGACACTCAGATGAAAGCCTTTTTGTAAAGACTTTTAGTTTATCAACAAAGCTAATATCTCCACCCGTCTGGTCTTGCCCTTCTCTGTTTCTGTCTGCACTACCCAAAGATGATTAAAAAAAAATGTGTATCTGATTATGTTTTGTTCTCCACTGTTCACAGTTCTCACAACACACTGAGGTGTAATTTATTTCTGGACCTTTGTACAGTCTGTTCCCTTTTTCTAAAATGGAAACTACTCATTTTTGTTTCCCTCTTAATTTCCTGGCTGCTTCTTCAAAGTTTCCTTTGCTCTCTGTTCGTCTTCTCTGTATTTATTTTTAATTTGTTTTTTAAAGATTTTCTCTTTTTTTTGATATGGACCATTTCCAAAGTCTTCATTAATTTGTTACAATATTGTTTCTGTTTTATGTTTTGGCCTCTTTTGGCTGTGAGGCATGTGGGATTCCAGCTCCCTGACCAGGGATCAAACCCACACCCCCTGCATTGGAAGGCAAAGTCTTAACCACTGGACCACCGGGGAAGTCCCTTTCTCTGTGTCTTTAAATGTTGGAGTTCCTGAGGTCTGAATCTTAGGAGCTCAGTTTTCTTCCTTCTCTTATCCTTCCTTCCCCTTCTCTTTCCAATGAACTTGCCTAAACCAGTGACCCTAAATATCAAAATGTCAGTGATTCTCAAATTTATGTCTTTTGTCCTTACCTTCCTCTATTCTCCAGGCTTACATATTCAACTTAGACTCCTAACCACATAGGTGTATCACAAGCATCTCAAACTTAACATGTTTAACCCTATTCCTCCTTCTGGTTTCCTTGTTCTAGGAACCAGCCCCTCTATCTCGTGATGTACTTGGGCCAGAAACCTGGGAGTTACTCTGGATGTTTCCTTTTGACAACCACATCCAACCTAAGTCCTTTTGCTTTTATCTCTAAAATATATCCATAGTCTGTACATGTCTGGCCATTTTGATCACTATCACCCTGGTCTAAACTCTCAGTAGCTCCCCACTTGGGACTGTTGCAATATCCTGCTAACCAATCTCTCTTTTTAAACTATTTATTTTGTGTTAGGCTTTAGCCGATTAACAGTGCTGTCATAGTTGCAGGTGGACAGCAAAGGCAC